TGCGGGTTTATAAAACATTCCAATGGCACTTGAGAGTAAAAGGCCAAATATAGGAAAAACTATGCCACTCAATACTGCTGCGATGGATCCAAGGAGCAAAACTGGAATTTCAGGCTTATTCAAGGCTGCCAATCGTTTCAATGAAACATTTTTACGCTTTTTAGGATCAATGTCTGCTCTTTCTGGTCCTTCCTCATCGATTTCTTGATCTTGGATATGAACTGAACCCGGAATGCCAAAGTTGATAGTGAATGAAGGCCGACTAATTGATGAACCCCTACTTACGGATCTCCTCATTGATGTTCTCGTACTATCAAGACTGTCCATTCTATTGTCTACATCAACTGTATCATTGGTTAGGTTAGTTGCTGTCTCTGCTGTAGTTCCTTCTTGCAGACGGATTAGCTGGGAATAAGCTCCATCAGGATTTTCGATCAGTTCACCATGTGTTCCTAAATTTCAAAATTTGTTCACTTTATTAACTACATTGTAAACCTTAGGAATGGAAATCTCAAATTAGTTGATTCTGAAGCAAACCTTTCTCAAGAAGTTTCCCTTGATGCACCACTGCTATAGTGTCAGCATTCCTTATAGTTGTCAAGCGATGTGCAACAACCACGGTAGTCCGACTTTCCATCACTCTTACAAGTGCTTCTTGAACAATACGCTCTGATTCAGTATCTAAAGCACTAGTTGCTTCATCAAGGAGCAGAATCCTGGGATCTTTCAAAATGGCCCTTGAAATGGCAATTCTTTGCTTCTGTCCACCTGATAGCTGGGTCCCATGCTCGCCTACCATCGTATCAAGCCCCTTCGGAATAAAATGCAGACTTATTAAAACTTTAGTAACAAAGCTTTTGAGATTCAAGAAAGAGAAGGAAATTAGCCAGAAACTTGCAATCAGAAACACAGCATAAAGAATAAAGTGGACGACGACTACACTTTGAGGTTTACCAAAGGCAGCTTGTCAATGAACTTTGCAGCATTGGCAAGCTCAGTTGCTGCTCTGATCTCTTCTTCTGTCGCATTTTCTTTCCCGTACAGTATATTCTCCTTTATAGTAGTTGCAAAGAGAATAGGTTCTTGGCTAACAAGACCAATTTTTTCCCTTATCCATCGAAGCTTTAAGTCCTTCAAATTCACTCCATCTATAAGTACTTCACCAGAATCAGGATCATAGAATCTTTCAAGTAAACTGATAACTGTTGACTTTCCGCTTCCACTATGTCCAACAAGTGCAGCAGTTGTTCCACGGTGAACAAACAACGAGAATCCTGAAAAAATATGCACATCTGGCCGAGCAGGGTACCTGAAGTAGACATCCTTAAGTTCAATGTCACCTTGTATGTCTTCCAGCGTTATACCACTGGCATCATAGGAATCAATTTTTGGTTTTCGTTTGATTGTCTCAAACATTTTGTAGGCTGCAGCCTGTCCTGAAGCGAATGCATTGACCACTGGTGATGTCTGCCCCAATGACCTAATGACCAGAAAAATGTTGATGAATTTTCCGTTGATAAGAAAAAGTGGCTGCAAGACAGTCATTCAGCTGAAATGAAAATTTCAACTTACATTCCACCAGTCATAATTGCAAAGATAACATTGATGACTTGTCCACCATTGTATCCCTTCTCAATGATAAGCTTGGATCCATACCATACAGCAAGCCCATAGGTGCCAAAGACAATTAGCAATATTAGGCCGAGTCCTAAACCCGAGGCGAGTCCTTGTTTAACTGTTGACTTGTAGGCTATTTTCAGCTTGGCATTGTATTTCTCAATAGCTTGCTTCTCCCCAGTATAGGATGCTACCTTGAATAATTAAAAAGAACAATACATACAAGTGAATTACAGATTACAGAAAGATAGCTTAAGATTCAAGAGAATGAACTTAATCTTACTGTTCTAATAGCCCCAACTGTTTGTTCTACTACATTCCCTGCTTCAGCATAAGCAATCTGTCCACGGCTTGACATTCTAGACATGATCAGTGATGCGGCACCACCAGCAGCTACAATTGCAGGAATGCAGGAGAGCAAAACCACAGCAAGAAGCCATCCCTTCATGAAGGCAACCGCAAAACCACCGAGGAAAGTTGATAGTAACTGTATGAACTTCCCCACCTATCAAACAATCAAAATTATGATACTAAATTTGGTGAGTATAGAAATAGAACCGAATAGAAGTCATTTGGTAAAAGAAGAACACATACCTTTTCTCCCATGGCATCTTGTATCAAAATGGTGTCTCCAGACATTCGACCAATAACTTCTCCAGTTGTAGTTTCAGTGTCAAAGAATGTAATGTCCTGTCTTAGTATTGTTTTCAAATACAATGCTCGAATACGTGCTGCCTGTCTCTCTCCTGTTACCATCCAACATGCAACCTCTGCAATTGATTGTTTTCAAATATCCATTAACGCCATGAACAGTGCTTAAGCTCTATGTCTAAGCTCAAACCAGCATTTAGAACGTCTTCCTTAGACTAAAAGAGGAAGAAGACAATCTAAAACAGAATATCACAGATGAAAAACATTTGTTGTAACTTACGTAGGAACGAAGCAATTCCAGTGCCAATTCCCAGGAACACGAAGTCTAAAGAAATCTGGAAGCCAAAAAGATTAAAAGGTAAATATATACAGTAAGATTTATATTACTTTTTTGGTTTTTTCCTGTACAGAAGAAAAAAAAAAAAAAAAAAAAAAAAAAAAAACAAGAGAAGGTATGAAATCTCTAGGGCTTAAAGAACAAAGCAAGAACTTGTTGGATTGAGAAAAAGAGATCATGAGAGACAAGTGTTTATCACTAAAGTAAATTACTGGACCAATGAACCGACAACACATGACTTATCATATCACATGAACCTGAACAACACAAAATCTAGACCAAGTCAATCCACTCCAGCATTTACGTTTCTTTTACAGGATAAATTATCTGTACCCGAACAATTACAAGATATTAAGGCATATTTGAGGATTCTTTTTTAAGTATAGGAATCAAATTTTGTTCTCTAAAACGATTTCAAACAACTACGATTGGATTGAATTAATTGAGGATCAGAAATTCACAAATATTAGTTTCGTAACGGAAACACATTCATCGATAATCGTGGAAGAAAGCTTCCACAACAAAGTAACTCCAAATATATATACAAAAAAGTTAGTAATACTTTGAGGAGGTTGAAAACGTATTACTAATAAAAGATCAGGCGAAATACGGAACTAGGCTTGGAGCAGGAATCTGTGTATTAAAATATAAAATAAAATAAAACACCGAGGCACCTTGGAAACTTGAGCGACAACATCAGACTGATCGGAGGAACCAAAGGAGTTGATCATCTTGCCGAAAATAAGCGTCATGATTGGCTGAGAGATACCATTAGCGATGGCGCAGACGGTGCCGAGGGTCATCAACATAACGTCGAACCGATCGGCGAATGTGAAGAGTTTATAGAAAGGGACCTTCTGACCGTCTCGTCCATTCCGAGGCCCCGGCGGCAAGTCGGTAGGGGTGTCGCTGCCGTCCATGGCGGTTCAAGTGGGTGCAAAAGCAGGAGAAGAGATTAAAGGAAAAGGCAACAGGACTGTGTTAAGAGGGTAATCAAACGTAACGTGAAAGAGGATTCAAGATTGATGAAGAAAAATGAAATTTGAGGAACAAGATTGCGGAATTAAATATTACTGAGGATTGAATTTAAAGAACAACAATGGCATCGATTTCTGTTCCTTGAAAAATTCGGAAACATCTGAAGGCGCTAGAGTGAGATTCATGTGAGCGAAAATATGGGAAGGAATTATAATCTCATGAACTGAAATCACGATTCCACGTAAGCCTTCTTCTAGAAACATTGTATTTAGTATAGTTATTTGTTTATTTCCTATTTTGTAGAATATAAACGTTATTGCCTTTTAAATTATATTAAATAGGGAACTTGAAACTTATAAAATAAATAATGCTTCTAGAAATTCCAACACGTGGGTGTTTTCGTTTAATTTTTTTTTTAATTAAAAATTTCATTTATATCTAATAAGCAGTAAAAAATAATGAGTGAACTTACCAAAATAAACAATCAAAATAATGAGTGAAGTTACCAAAATAAAATTAAAATTGGAACATAAATTATTTGATATAAAAATATAATAAAGAAAGAAACACAATTTCATTCCTCTCAATTAATTTCACTCCATAAAAGCCTACCCTCTTTTTTTTTATATTATTATTATTACTTTATATTAGTTAATTCTTATCCATTAATATCAAATAAACTTAATAATATTTTGTAGTTTCTTATAAATAAATAGAATCTTACATATTTGTGAACTTTTCTTTTTTATTTTTTATTATTATCAGGTTTTCATTTTAAATTTTTTTAAATTTTTTTAATTAATTAAGATAAATTCCTATTTTCCGTCCTTCAAAATAATCATGGTAAGCTTCTTAACTTGAGTTGAGTAAGCCTCAAGAGCCTCTTTGCAGCAACCACGTGAATCAATCGACAAAGATGACGTTGAAAATGATTGGCACGTGTCCACGTTGTAAATTGTCAAGACTGGTTATTAAATACAATTTACTTTATAACTCTTTTTATTACTGTTGTTACTTATTTTGGGTATTAACCCAATCATAATATTAATATTCTCATTTATTTGGTTCATGCATGAAAATTAGTATTGTTGTATCTATATAAAGGTTTGTCGTGGAGTCATGTAAAGTCATTGTCATTTTGTATTTACCTAGTGACATTTTGGTTAGGTGTGAAGTCATTGTCCTTCTATTTGTCTAATGGCATTTGGGTCAAGATGTTGAGTATTGTCATTTTGTATTTGGGAAAGAACTTTGTAAAATAGACATTGCAGTGTAAGAGTATGAGAGAACTTTGCACTATACCTATGGATGTAGAGGAATTTCTTCCCTCTGAATCATGTAAATCTTTGTGTCTCATTGTTTAATTTCAGTTTTTGTGGGTGTGTGAGTGCGATCGATATTGCTTCAGCTACCACAATTGAATATTAGAACATTTTGATGGTGACATTCCGCTACAATAATTGGGTATTAAAACATTTTAATTGTGTGATATTAGGTACAACAAGTGGTATAAGAGAATTGAAGGTTGTATCATCCGTGCACAACAAGTGGTATCTAAACCGAAGACAACCTAGGACTCCATGAATTTGGCCGAGTGGTGATAGTGAGTGTCCTAACTGCAACTTACTTCATTGGTCTGCATCCTAATTTGATCAAGGTATGACTTTCCTTCTACTTTTTTAGCAAAGTAGCCTTTGAAGTACTTCACCAAAGGGACAGTTCGAAACTTTGGTGGGTTATGAGGCCCTACAACACTCTTTGCAGGGCCCAACTCCAAGCTTAGATTTGGACTGTGGAATGTTGCAACCGAAAGCCTTTCTTTTGAGCAATTTGATGTCACTCTATGCTCAATGCTCTTGTATACGCCATTGCTTACAATCTGCATTAACAAACACAGCCCAAATTATGGTAACAAATTGCATCACCAACAAGCCAAAGACATGCTCATTACGTACCTCTATGATGTTACCTATGTTGACCACAAATGCATTTGGAATTGGTTTGACAGACACCCATCTCCCATCTTTTCGGATTTGCAGTCCTTCTGTTTCATTGAGTTGCAGGAGAATTGTTAGAGCATTTGCATCCGAGTGAGCTGAGAATCCGATGGCCTTATCGGGTTCGGGGCACGGTGGATAGTAGTTCATCCTCATTGACTGAACACCATCTCTAAATAGCTCCCTCATTTCTTCACCATCCATCTTCAAAGCTTCAGCCAAATGGTTCAAAATGATCATGGCTAACTTCTGAACTTCAGTTGTGTAAGATTCAAGAGCCTCTCTGCAGCAACCATGTGAATATCAGGCTTAGAAATCATGATCAAACATTTGTGTAGAACATGTCAAGAATTTGTGTAGAAACCTGAGTTTTGGTGGAAGATTATGGAATAGATGAGGCTTCCTTAGATTAGGAGGACGAATAAGTATGTAGAACATGTCTGACCAATCAAGCTTCTGGTCCTCTGACACCACACAGAGCTGTCCAAATCCTTCTTGGTTCTCTCGGCTTTGCCAAAGCAGCTTCTTTTCTTCATAGGGAAGATTAAAGAAACTTCCAATTTCCATTCTGAATTCGTTCACCAACGACGCCGGAACTTCGTGGTTTATAATCTGCCAACAACGAAGGAATACTATCTCCATTGGTATGAGACCTTTTAAGGAAACCAAAAGCAAAGTAACGAGAGTTTATGTTCAAAGTGGATAATATCATACCATTGTAGAGGTTCGTGATTCCGAATATGGTACCAGAGTCATATCCTTAACTTAGCCATGAAAATAAAATCTTCAAAGGTGTAGCAAAAAATGACTAAAGTGTGGAACAAATGGTGGACTTTGTCCGAGGACTCCAGAGGAGTCGAAGAGGAGGCTTTTCGAGAGCTCCATAGACCTTACGGGAGGCTCTATAGTGTACTTTGTTCGATGAGAGGATTGTTGGGAGGGAGTCCCATCGTTACTAAATAAGAAGATGATCGTGTGTTTATAAGTAAATGAATACTACCTCCATTGGTACGATGCATTTTAGGGAAATCAAAAGCAAAGCTACGATGCATTTTAGGGAAATCAAAAGCAAAGCTAGAGCTAATGTTCAATATTATATCATTACAGAGGTTCATGATTCCTAACATCACCCGCCAGCAAATGCTAGATGTTCCACAATTTATCGTAGTAGGGCTCATAAAACGTTCGAATTCATAACTAAATTTCAAAAACAAAAACAAAAACAAGCTTTTTGCAGTCCTCTTTAAAGTACTTACAAAGCTGACCGTCCACGGTTTACATACCTGGAAGAATCCCCATTCCTTACATGCAGAATGCAACTTCTCCATCTCTGCAGCAGCAAAATCTCCAATGGCCAACCGGTGAAGATCGACCACCGGTACCGACAGTTCAGAATCTCCATTGAAAACGATCGGCGGGTCCTGATCGTCACGTTCATAGCGAAGGGGAAGCTTAGAGATGGGGTGCTTGGTTAGCTCCAGAACGCTGGGCACTACGATTGATGCTCCAAAGACAACCTTCTCAGATTTGGACTCCATGAATTTGGCTGAGTGGTCACCTGCAACTTACTTCACTAGTTGCTACTCAAAAATATGTATTGGCCATGGCCACACCCCTCATTTTCTATCCAAATTTGTGTGTCAGATATTGTCAGATATTGTTGGGATATGGAACCTGATGCGAGACAAAGATATATTTGAAAAATATTTCCTAAAGATAGGATAGAAATATATATGATAGAGATTTAGTACAAATTTGATAAAGATATATTTGTTAGATTAGATCTCGTAGGTTTAAATATTTAGTAAATTGAAACCATATATATACCTCAATAGGTAGTGCTCTCAAAATGTATTCTCTCTTAAGTCATCAGTAATAAAACCTTTAGCCAATATTCTTTTTTGTGTTCATCTTGATCGAGTGTGTGCGTTGTTGAGCGATTCTAACAATTGGTATCGATCCTAACAAATATTTCATTAGAAAAAGAAAAAGAAAGCTTGTGTGATCGCAATTGAAACTTTACACGATTGAAATCTTAGATTAATAGTCTAAGAGGCATCAAATATGTATATTCTATAAGGTTGAAGGTTCAAATCTCTCCCTTCAACTGCTTTTCATTTTATTTTGAGAAACTATCCCAAATCAACAGTCATGCGTCCCTTCATTTTGGATCCTCATACAATCAAGATATGACTTTCCATTCAGTTCCTTGGAGAAGAATCCTTTGAGGAAATCTGTGACTCCAATTCTTTTAAACAAAGCTGGACTATCTGAACTGACCAAGCTTGGAGCAGGACCTATCTCCCCATCTAACCTTGGGCTGTAAAAAATGGCCAATGAAAGCCTCTCCTTCGCCGAGTTCACGGTCACCCGGTGCTCGATGCTGCGATATATTCCATTCGTGACAATCTGAACGTTCATAATCAACGTCGAAATCTATCAGTTTTATGAGGTCCATTCAGAATTGAAAAGAACAACAAGGAAAGCTTTTACCTCCAAAATATCTCCAATATTGACAACAAAAGCATTTGGGAGAGGCTGAACAGGAATCCACCTCCCATCCTTCCTTATTTGGAGGCCTTCCATTTCATTGACTTGAAGAAGAATGGTTAAGCCAGATGCATCAGAATGGTTGTTGAGTCCAATGACTAGCTCTGGTTGAGGACATGGAGGATAGTAGTTCATTCTTGTTGACACAATTCCTCCTCCAAGCAGCTCTCTCATTTCGCAGCCTTCCATTTTCAGAGTTTTGGCCATTAAGTCCAGAAGTTTCATGGCTAGAATTTCCATCTCCAACGCATAAGCATCCAAATCATCTCTGAATGGAAGAGGGAGGTTGGGAAACAAGTGGGGTTTCCTCAAATAAGCAGGGAGGATAAACACTGCAAAGAGATCTCCCCAATTAAGCTTCTGCTCCTCAGAGAAAACAAAGCTTTGTCCAAATCCTTCAAAATCTCCTGGTTTTTGCCAAAGCTTCCTCTTCTCTTCTAATGGAAGATTAAAGAGTGCTTCAACGCCTGATTTCATATTCTCCACCAATGCATCACTCACTCCATGGTTGATCAGCTGCACAAAGAAAATGACTTCACACAAAATGATATAAACGGAAACTTGGAAGACGGATTAAACAGCGAGTACCTGGAAGAAACCCCAATCTTTGCAAGCAAGATGGAGCTTATGAAGTTCACAGTCCTGAGAATTGTTGGAGAACAACAGCTTGTGCAAGTCAATAACAGGGATTTGAGGTGAAGTGTCGATGAACTGGAAAGGAGGGTCTTGGTTGGGGCGAACATATCGAAGGGGAACTGTGGATGGGGAGCTTTTGGCTAACTCTTGAACGCTAGGCACCAGGAGAGAATCACCCAGCCGCAGCATCGTTGCTTCTTGCTCCATCTCTCTACAAACCTCCCAGTAGCTCCCTCTGTTAACAAAAGCAGAATTGTATCAAGTCGGAGTTCTTTCCATGAAGCGGTCAATACTTCAATTTCAACCTTACAAAGAATAAGACAAACCTTGACTGTGTTTTGGGGGATGGATAAGCTCAAATACGTCAATATAGATGTTACAAGTTGAAGGGTTGACGACTAAAATATGTTTAACGCTGCCATCTTGATGGTAAAAACGAGAAAAACCCAACATTGACATAGATTTATATGCAAATTTATCTATAGTAAGAAAATATCAGACAATTTTGTAACTTCATATTAAGTAATAAACATAGTTTGATGTACATTGCCTGTAATGTAATAACCAAAACAGCGAACAAAATGAAGAAAGTAATTTGAAACACATCCAAAGCGGCCTAAATCAGTGCCAAACAAGTCTCATTATCTACTTCAATCTTATTCTTTTCTTCTTTTTTTTCTTTTTTTTCTTTTTCATTTTTGGGATCCTAGTTTTAATTTTTGGGTTTCCCATCCATAGAACCACTTTGGGCTATACATCACTCTACTGTACTATCAGTTACAGTACTCAAAAAAGTCCTAAACCTGAACCCAAACAAATATGAATATCGTATCATTTACAACTATTGCTCCCCACGAACCAGTCAAAGGCAGTCACAGTCAAAACATTCCCTCTGATAAACAATAAGAGGAAGTTTCAACTAGGAAAAATCTCACCCTCCTCCTTCCCATTTTCATTGTAGATGGTTTTCTTCATCTTCGTCCAGGAATTCATCCTTGATAAACAAACCAAGTCGTTCCAATGGATTTTCCAACTGACCCTCGTCTAATGACCTCTTCAACTTTGCACAGTGATGTTTGACGAATAAGATTCCTCCACTAAGTTTTTCCAGCTCTTTTAGCATCTCGAGATTTTGGTCCAGTTCAACAGTTCTTTCGATCTAAAAGACAGAGGTACTGGTAAGGGATACTTGCGAGATATCAGCTAGAGTACAGAATGTAATAAAAGTGAGATTGGATGTCAATGAATAACCTTTTGAAGAGCAATACGGGCAGCTTCTCTATCACTATCTCGCTGCTGCTTCTTCTCCGCCTCCGCTTTCAATTGCAATTCCATCTCAGCAGCCTTTATTTGTGCTTCTATACGTGCACTCTCTGTATAATTTACAGAAGGAAATGCAAAACCAATAAATACACACGTACGTAGAGATGCATTTTTTTTCTTTTTTTCTTGGTGGTGGGGTTAAATATAAATATAATCGCCCACAAGCATTTACCTTCACGCTGCTTCCTTTCTAACCTTTCCTTCTCCTGCTGCATCTTCACTTGATCAACTTTATCGCCCTACAAAGGATAAGGAAACTATAACTATCATACCACTATAGGGAAATAGAAAAATGGTGATAACAGCTTTATTATGAAGTTAATGAACATACAAGATCAAGAAGTGTCTTCTGTTGTGCTTTCAAAATGGTTTCAGCGAAGCGACTCTTAAGCATTGCGGCACGGAGAGCCTTCTTTGGTGAAAGTTGTACGTCAAAAATTGGGGTAGAGCACTCTGCAACAAATGAAAAGAGATGTAGTTAGTCTGATGCATCCGATAAGGAAAAAGGCTCGCCATTAGTTAAAGATAGAGAGAGAGTAATAAGCAATACAATTAAACTCAAAACAAACACATAAAAATGGTATTTCTGCCACGCTAACAGAATACTGACCTCCAGAGGTAGCATTTGTCTCAAGGGTCAAAGACTGATCACAAGGTTTGCTTTCATCCTCCAAAATACATCTAATCCCTTCACAACATTCCCAGTAATATTGAGCATTCTAGGAAGATAAAGATATTACTAAAAGAAAATTTTCATAAAAAATATGAGAACTGACTTTCAGAGCCTGTATCCGACTTGGACGGCTGGGAAACTGACAATCTCCATGTTTGAGAGTCCTAAATTAATATAAATTATATAAACGAAACAAAAAAATTGTGAATGTTCATAGCAAATATGCAATAGTAACGTACCAGTCCACTGGAATAATTGACATCTGAATTCTCCCTTGACAATGATCTCTCGTTACATTGATCTAAATTACAGAAACTAATTTTTTAGACAATTATCAGAATGAACACAAGCTAATAGAAAAATCAACCACCCACCAGAGGATGAAAGGCCTGAATTGGAAGAAGAGCTACAATGACATGGAATGTTACAACATCTCGTACACTTACTGACAACCTGTCTCGGTGTTTGATTATCAAAGGAGCTACAAGCATGTTTACTGCTAGTTTCTGTTCCTATCAGATACATGGATAATTAGCTCCTTTACAGGGACATAAAGCAGAACCGTAATCTGCCACTTCATACCTGTATGGAAGTTCTTCCTGGGAGGTTTGGGTGCACAAGTTGGGAGTGTTTTAACATGATCAACCTGCAATATAAATGAGAAAACGCAATCCATTACGCAAGATAAGAATGCTCCCCAATTCACCATGAGCGTTAAATAATCAAGCAAACCAAATGAAAATTCATAACACAAATTCTAGTGCTTTACCAACACCAAGACTTGAAAAACTTTTAGAACATTAAACAAAAAGCATGGATGTTACTTGCCTCAACACTATTTGCATTTGAAGACGGTGTACTGACGTTCTCTTCAGATACTGTTGACTTCTTATGCAATAAAGTATTCTGAGATGGAGTTCGGGAAACCTTTTCTCCTGTTGGTCCATTTGAAAGTTTTACTCGCTGAAAAGTTGATCTTCCACTGACCCATTTTTCCTTCGCCAATTTCCATCTCTTTTCAAAAACTTCGTTAAGTTCCTTGGCCATCTTATGAACAGCGTTAGCAGGAGGATTGTAACGCATGGCATTAGAAAATGTTAGTCTAACATCAGCAGCAAATTCTTCACTTGTCTGAAACATATTTTTCTCTAGCTTGGATTTGACAGTTCCCAAATCCATAGGAGCAGTGATGATTGAGAAGTAGTCAGGAATTTTCAATGCCACAGGATCCACGGGTTGGTTGAAAACCCAACCACATGCATGGGACATTAGTTCTTTTAAAATTGAAGAGCATTGCTGCGTTGTACTCCGATCCAACTTCTGCTTCTTCTCTCTTGGAGATTTTATATCCTCGGTTGCTCTGCGCTTATCAGTAATTGTGATTGAAGATTTGGACTTACAACAGGCAGCAGCAAAGGTCTTACCATTACTGAAAGCATTCAATGAATAATTGAATGCACCCTCCACCTTCAACCCATCCCTTCCAGTAAATGTTAACTTCTGGCCTACAAGCTTCCCAAATTCAGAAGATTGTGAACGAGGATGATCTTCTACTCGTTTCCCGGCAAATTTAATTCTCAGCTTTTTACTCGGTACAATGGTTTCGGTGGCAATCATTTTGACCCAAAGGAATGTCAAGAAACCCAAGACTTGGAGAGAGCTAGATAATTAATGTTTTACAAGCAACCCAGACCATCAGAAAAGCAGCATCCCTCAAACAAAGAAGAAGCGATGAAAGAACTACTCGTATGGAAATTAAACCTGCATAAAGGATGAACAGAAAATAATTTGAGTTTTAAAAAAGATGAGTAAACGATTAAATGATCATTCCAAAAAACGATGGGATATTGTAACATCTCATAATCCCAAACAAAAGGGTCCCCGGAGCGCTATTAACAAACAATAACAGAACATGTCCTCATAAAAAATCGCGCTCTAGAAAATCTTTAACTTCCGGTGGAAAGATAAAACACTAGACGAAAAACATGGAAGTTTCGTACTTAGAAGAGAAGAAAGAAGCCTTTCTACTCAGAGCGAGCTCAAATATGCAACTAAAAAATTAAAAATTAAAAAAAAAAAAAAAAAGGTCTGAACCTACAGGACGTCTCTCGAACCAACTGTCAGCAAGAAAGTTAAAAGATCTCGAAAGGAAAACCCCAGATACAAAAGTTGGAAAATAATCAGACAGTCAACAGAGAAAAATTACAGTGATATAAGCAAAACCTAGTTTTTCATGATCTCAATAACTCGAAGTGATAAGATATACTAAAACAGAGGAGGCATAAAGAAACAAAGTAACAAATTAACTCTTAAAGTTTAGGAAACTCAAAAGTGAATATGAGTTCCAGAAGATGGCATAAATTACAAGAGCGTCCTCGAACCTCAGTGAACCCCAAGCCGACGATGGCGGCAAAGAAGAAGAATCAGTAAAGAGAAAGAGGCACTTACTCAGATCGACGGGAAGGCGTCGGAAGGCAGGAGATTGAAGATAAGCAACGACGGGAAAAGAAGAAGCGGCGGCTTAGAAGAATTCGAAGAGAGAGGGCGAAGAGCCCCCCTCGAAGAGAACAACCGCGCGAAGAGGAAGAGGGAAGGCGATAAGTCTAGGGTTTATGGAAACACCATCGGTCCGTTGCTGTTGGTGTTCACTGTCAAGTGATTAACAGCTGTAGGGTTTTTCCCTCCAATTATTATTATTATTTTTATTTTTATTTTTTGGCAGATTATATATACATTTTCCTTTTTTTTTTTCTTTTTTTTAAGAGTCATTAATATTCTATATACATAAAATAAAATTAAGCAAAAATAATTATTATTATCGGAGTACGAATAAAACTTAAACATATCTTAAAAATATTTGATAATAAAAACTTAAACATATCTTAAAAATATTTGATAATATTAAGAGGGGGAAAGATATGGAAATTATATGAAATGCCTTATTTAAATATTATTATAATAAAACATTTCTAATAAATATGGATATGGCTCACAACAATAATCTCAAATCAAGCACAAGTTCATTCTACTTATCCCAAGGACGAATGTACTCTATTGCTCTGTGAGGAAGATCCTCCAAATAAATGCCATCATCTCTAGCCAACCACACACAAAGCTGATAGTTGCATCTAGCACCAAGCCAGTCATGTTTACTCTCCGGCCAAAATACTTCCATTGACACGTGTTTGTTTGACGAGGTACTTAGATTACACCAAAAAAGGGTGGTTGCTAAAAGATTTACTCTAAATTTCCACGAGTAACTATGATCCACTTGTAGCGTATGATTACCCAAGTCATCGTCTTTTGATTTGCAGTGAACTAACATAGTATTGCGTGACTCCAAGTCGTTCATTATTGTCACGTTCCATTCAGTCAATGCTGACGTATGTTGTTTTGGGCGAGGGAATGCTGGCGTTGAGAATGATGGCATT